TCCTTCATGGACCCTCAATGATATAGACCGGGCGGTCAACAACCCAATGAAATGATGGGCTTTTGGAAAAGCCATGGCCATGGGCCTTTTGCTAATCCTTAGATGTTTTGGATGCATGGTGACTTGTGCCTAACAGCCTAAGTAATGCTACTAGAAAGAGAAAAAAGATAAGAAGGACATTGGAACATATGATCTATAGGTGGAGTACTGTTCTATATATATATATATTTTTTCTGTTGAATGGTCAAGAGTGTTCGGGTCAATTTATGCATATTTTGATTAATTTTTTCTCCGATCTGATCAAAAACAGACCTTCCATTCCGAGATTAAAATATTTATGAACGATAAATTTCACATGATTTAGTTGAAAAAGGTTATTGAGATTCAAATTAAAAATGTCTAAATGTACAACTCGACTTTATTATTATTTGAATTACATTCGGTTACGTAGTGCTCTAAGTGTGTGATCTAAAACGTCAGAGTAGGAGCAAAGGAGTTAGATATTGTTGCATTACTCATATTAGGAAGAAAAATAGAAATCAAAAGATAAAGTAGAAATAATGTGTACGTTAGGGGATATTGGGCTTGGTCATGGTCATGGTCATGCATGGCTGCATTTCCCAAAGAGAATCGAATCAATCCTCCTTTCTTTTTGCTTTTTCACAGTACACCTCTCTTTACCATTCCCCAAGAAAATGGTGGGTGATAGACATCTCTCTCTTTTTTTTTTTTCAATTCTATTAAGGAAAATCATTCTTTTTTTTTTTCAATTCTATTAAGGAAAATCATTGTTTGGTTCACTATCTACAAACTAAGCTTTTTAAGTAAGTTTGGATTTTGAAGAAGACTAATGCAATTTATACACGAGGGATAGATTGTTGAGATATTGCGTTTGAAAATTCCTTATCAAAAAGAATAATAAATGTACTTAGTACTAAATAGATTTGAGCTTCAAATATAAGTATTGAGTATGTTGAGATTGGACTCTTTTTAGAGAGAGAGAGAGATTTTCATTGAAAAGAAATTTAAGAGGCTAGTAAGGAAAAAGAAAAAATGACAGCCAAAAAGAGGCAACTCAAGAGGGAAAGAAAAAGAAAAGATGGTCAAATTGGACCTCGATTCAATCATTTACACTATCTTTATCGAAACTCTACCATTTTTACTTTCTTTGATTTCGATCCCTCTTCCATCACATAATTATCTCTTCCATTATATGGAGCGTACTGAAGAAATAATTTTGTATTATTCGGTTTATACCTCTAATTTTTATCACTTTAATGGGTGTAATTTATAAAATTTTTGTATATCATTTTATTTTACAACTAAAAAATTTATTATTTTTGTGGGTGGTTTATCACTTTTATGAGTGTTTTTACCAATGTTATTGGTGTTTTTACTATATTTGTAGTAATTATTTTTACTATTTTTTTGATGCAAAAAAATTAATCATATTTGTGAGTATTTTTAGTAAGTATTTTTATAATATTTGTGAATGTTTTTACCACTATTGTAATAATTATTTTTATTATTTTTTGGATACCACAATAGTAATAAAAAGACTTACAAATGTAACTCCCATTATATATATGTTGCAAAAAAGATTGGGCTTCTCTCTCATCTGTATCCCAATCAAGCAGTGAATGCTCATGAAATAATAACAAATAAGATCACCCATGCAACCTTATCATCTGCTTCGATGTATAGTTCGATTTCAACTTCACCTATGGCCATTTTACTGAATCAGACACGAGTGACCCAGCAAATCTATATCTCGATTCAATAAAAGCTCAAAGAGGGCTATCCCAACTAACTAGAAATATATAAAAACAGGTCTGATAACACTTATTTCTAATTCACACATTATTATATGTTTATACCCACCATACCATTGAAAAACACCTATTTTACCCTTTGATTTTCTCTCTTTATTTTTGGTGTTGAAAACCCGTCTTAATTGCATATTTTTGGACTTGCGACTATAACAAGACTTGAACTTATAACCTTGATATATAATATCACTTGTGCGTTCCTATTCGAGCCATCCTTGATGAGAAGAAGCTTCAAAGTGGGGGAAGAAGCAAAATAGAAAATTCCCAGATATTATCAAACTTTTAGGAGGCTAGATCAAAAATCAAATGAATGCAATGACAGAAATTTTTAATTTTTGAAACCTAACTAGGGCATGTGTCCTTAGGCCATAATATAGTTCCATCATTGCTTGATGGAACTATGCATTTTCTTGAAAGAAATAGAAATTCGTTTCTAGGTCCAGAAAATGCCAGTCAGCCTCTCATGTTATGACTATATTTTTGTGATAGCCAGTGTTCTCTCGCAACCCTTTTGACTTGCTGTAAAATTTAGTTTCAAGTACAAGTATGGAATATTCAAAAATATAAAAGTAGATAGAGAATGTGGGTCTCAGAATTTTTTCACAGGGAGACATCCCCCCCAACCCCAAAAAAAAGGAAAAAAGAAAAAGAATTAGGGGGTGGGCCATTTTAAAAGATTTAATTCCATGGAATATTCAATTTGTCTGGTAAAAAACAGTGAGCTTTGTTCCTTCTTATCCAATCCTTAGCCAACAAGAACTATTCTCTTTGCTAACTTGGCTTTGTGAAAGTGGTCTCTCTAGTTTATGCACCACAAGATTTGCAGATCCTGAATAAGCAATGTTTTACTTAGAGGTAACAGTTTTATGTTGCTTTAGCTTTATGTTGGGACAAGGTGTATAGATTTGTCCAGCTTAAGATGGTCGAATTTTGACCAATTGCATTCCCTACCCTACCTTCACTTTACTTGTATCCAAAATGTAGATGCATTGATCTTGCAGTCATATCATTTTTTTTTTGATCAACATAAATGTTATTGAGTCTTAAAATGTTGATATTTTTTGTTGATTTAATTAATCATAATCTTTGAACAAGTAATGAGTCCCAATAAATATTAGAACCTGTAATTAAATCAATGATGATAATTAATTAAGTCAATATTTTAAGTGTAAGTAGTATTGCTCTTTGATCAATAAGCACATGTATGGACTTTTTCCGAAGGAATATGGTACTTGATTTTAGATCTGCCTGATTAAGAATCGACTCGAGTATTTAATTAAAAAGTGTTAATTATTGAACATTATGGTAGGTCTATTTAGAGCTACATATTAATTTTGGATTGCAATTTCCCTTGGTGTATCTAGTGAGTGGGGCCCTTGTATTATTTGTGGTGTGAGCTTTCATGTCCTAATTAAGTTGCTCTATATTGACATAGAGTTCATGCGAGAGTAATGCTATTGAAATCTAAAAAATTGACATAATTTGTTGACCTTATAATTTAGGTTCATTATAACTATTGGATTAATATCAAGTTTTAATGTTTGATGGGACCCACAATCAATTCAAATGTTATAATAAATTAGGCTAATAAATTAGACAATAAATTAAGTACCAATAGTATTGCTCGCCATAAAATAACCTTTTTGCAAGGAAGGATAAAACTGATTACACCTGACACTCTACCAGCTTTGCAATGGCTGAAACCTTTTGCACTAGATTGTGTCTTTTTTTTTGGTATAGTATTATTATTCTTAGTGTGTGTGTGTGCACACACACATTATGTATGCATAATTGAGATTCTAAATAAGTTCTCAAATGATAATATATACATTTTCTTTGGGGACAAAAGAATTCATTGAAAATAAAATGGAAAGAATGTATGAAGAAGGGCATTTTTGGGACTTGGATGCAGAATATGTTGGTTTGTGTTCATGCAAATTCCCACATTCAGAAGCCTTAAAAGAAGCTGTAGCTTGAGCTTTATCAAATTTCACAATATTTTCTCTCTTTTTGAAATAATTTTCTTTATCTCTTTCCTTCATTTTTTAGATTTTGGTGATTCCATTGTTCAAGGAAGGCCAAATGAAAGAATATGAAAAAGAACATCCTTAGCCCCCAATTAGCTGCCTCGAATCCCCTCGATTTTCGAGACCTTGTCAAGTATATAAATCAAACCATCCCATAACAAGAAATCACAAGTCCCCCCTCCTTAGCACTGTCTTCTTCAATTGCTAGGAGTCCTACTATCACTGCTCATCTTCATTTTTCAAAGGTGAGTCATTGTACATGTCTTAGATATTTCATGGATTTACTATTTCATACTATTTTTAAGGTGTTTGTCTTTCAGCAATAGTGGTGAATACTCATGCTGGTATTCTGCAACATGCCTTCTATAACATAAAAGAACATTCATTGCATAAGTTTCCGTTATTGCGTAGTCGGGAAGGTTAGACGCATAGCCTTATCGTGTACACAAAGAGACTGTTTTAGTCAATAGATACAATATAAATATTTAACTTTAATATGTGAAATTCCTTCTGTTTTATGTAGTAATACTACTTTTACTTCATGCTATTTGGTTGTAAATTTACTAGCTGGTAAGAGTACCACAAGGATATAAGCAAGTCTTTCTTAATAGGATCATGGTATAGTAACCCCAAAATTTTTTTCACTCTCATAACCAGAAATAATTTTGTGACTATAGACTTTCAGTTGATTCATTTATAGTGGTTTATCATGAAAATAAGAAAGTTAGGTAAACGACAAAATAAGAAAATTTTACACATGTTAAATTGTTATTGATTGAAAATAGAAATTATAGTCCCAAAATAGTTTTTTCGGTACCATAGTTGAACCCTTCTTAATCAAGTGTATGTTAATGAGTGATTGCTGCCGGAAAGGTATAAGCATTTTCTTTGCTAGAGGCTGATACATTCTCTCTCTCTCTCTCTCTCTCTCTCTCTCTGTGTCTTGACACAGGAAACATGAGCAGGCCAGGAGATTGGAACTGCAGGTCATGCCAAAACCTGAACTTCCAGAGGAGAGACTCATGCCACAGATGTGGAGAGCCAAGAACCGGTGAGAGAGGTGATTACGGAGGTTTTGGTGGAAGGGGAAATTCATCTTTGGGATTTGCAGGGCCTGATGTGAGGCCTGGTGACTGGTACTGCAATGTTGGGAACTGCGGAACTCATAACTTTGCCAGCCGCTCCAGCTGCTTCAAGTGTGGTGCCTTCAAGGATGAATCCTCTAGTGGATATGATGGTGACATGTCTCGGGGAAGAGGTTTCGGGTTTGGCGGTGGCGGTGGCAGAGGCAGCCGCTCTAGCTGGATGTCCGGGGACTGGATTTGCACCAGGTAAAGTTTATATATGTATTTTGGGGGGGGGGGGGGGGGGTTGTTTATGCTTCAAACTTTGACTGTAAACATACTCCAATCCAAACTATGTGCCGAGTTTGGTATGGTAACCAAATTTATAAATAAACAATATTTAGTAAATTCAATTATTTGAAGTAAAGTTAAGACTCAATAAGTTCAAGTTATGATCGAAAGAAATTGAAATTTTCTCTAATTCATTTCATTGTAATCTCACTAGATTAAGTTATAAATGACACTAAAAAATATCACTTTGATACTCTAATCTTAACCGATTAGTTTACTAATCACATCTATTTTTCTGGTGCATTGCAATCTTGATTTAAAACAGGTCAGGGTGCAACGAGCACAACTTTGCTAGCAGGATGGAGTGTTTCAAATGCAATGCACCAAGGGACTCTGGTAGCAGATCTCCATATTAAATCCCCATGGATTCTCCATTTTTTGGGTAAAGTCATGGTCAGCTTCCTAAATGGTTCAGCCATATATATATATATATGCCCTATGGATTCGATTTCACCTTGCCCCATGAACTAGTGAAGTTTTCACATTAGACCCTACAATACTCGAATTATTTCACATTGTACCTATCGTAAATGCCAACTATCTTTTTGAACGAAAATTACTGACGTGTCATGGTAAAGTGAAAAAAATTACATAGTTCAGGGAAAAAAAATAAAATAATTTTTCATTAAATAAGTAATAAACGTTAATAATTGAGGTGATGCAAAACTAATCACATAGGTGAGGGCATAATATGAAAAACATGCTAGTTGAGGGGACAATATGAGAAAAAAAGTCATAGCTAAGGGGGTCAGAGTATAATTTTTCATACATATATATGCTTTTAAATTTAATGAAATTGCATGGCTTCAATTTCAGGTACTACAGTCTAAGAGAGAATCAAGAAAGACCATCTGATATGATTTTCCAAGTTGAAGCTTTTTGCCCATGTTTTTTGTTTGGATATTTATCTTCTTTTATGGTGGGAGAGCCATAGAGAATCCTTCATTTTGTGAGCTTTCATTATTTTAGAAACAGCCATGTACTTCTGCTGCTTTCAATCTAATATCAGTGTGTGTTGACTGTTGAGAGAGTCTATTATTATTTCGGTGCTACGTGTTCTATATAAATGAGGCTTCATTACCAAACCTTCTTTTCCCTTCCCTTTTTGGTATTACAAAAATGGTGTTATGGACTTGCTTTAACTTTCAGAAAGATTCTCTCTCTCTGCCCAATTGTTATGACTTTTAATACGAGGGCCTGCTTTTTGTTGGAAAGTTTTGAATGGTCCAAGGAATTTTCAGCAGTTTTTTCTGCAATCATACAACTGTAAATCAAACTTTAAAGATGTTTTGTTCATGGACTGCACTGGGAGCTTTTGCTTAAACCTGTGCAATAACACTCATGGAAATCAATGGTTAAAATTTGGCTTACTAATCTTTAGGTTATGGTTTTGAACATGAGGGCAATCACTTTGTGTAATATCAAAGATTAGGTCTCCACCGAATCTATCCGTCTCGAACTCTTACTATGGGTACTAAACTGAGTGTTATTTAGATTCAACAAATATCTATTAGATTTATTATCTTTTGAGAAGTATCGGGACAATGTATTATGTTCTTTTCGCATTATAGGTCCCATGGATGTGCCCTTACAACATCAAAACCAGGATGCATATCCACAAATTTGGGATAAAACTGCAGTTCAGTGTGTCCTAAAATCAATTTTTATTTTCTATTTACTCCAACATAAATCCTATGAACTATCATTGAAGCATAAAATGGGTATGTCCGACTTGATCATTCGACCTCCAGCAAGTTGAGACAGTTTAATTGTAAGGCTGACCTGACGCCAAAGGCGTTATAGCACAGTTGGTTAAGTACTAGTATGTCAAATAAGCAATGAGAAGAGCCAGGGGTCCAAAACCTTTCATTATATCAAAAAAGAAAAATTGTTTCTAATATCTCTTAAAAATAAATTAAGTTTATTTTTTAAAGCATGCTAAGAAATCTAGCATAATGAGGCAGATAAGACTTGAAAGGCGAAAGAATGCTAGAATACCATAAAGGCGTAAAGCTTCACAGTTGTCATGGCTTTACTATTTTATGTGTATGATAGATATTAGCGCATAAACCCTTTCTTCTATATTTTTTGAGAAAAAGGAACTAATTTATAACCTATTTGAAGCTGCCACTGATATATATGAAAATGTTTTATAGTATGATGTATTTCTTTGTTGGTTGTAGCTCTCATCTAACAAACTTATCATGGAGGGACCATCTATGATTAGTTTAATGAACTTTCAATCTAAATAAGCTTACTTAACATAATTAATTCACAGCTCATGCTCAAGGCTCTGTCTCTTAGCTCACCAATACTCCCAGCTCATTCTTCCCATCAGCTGCCAACACTCCCAGCTCATACTCTCAGCTCTTCTATCCCCTCGGCTGCCAATGTTCCAACCTCATGTTCACAGCTCATTCTTCTTCTCAGCTCACGCCCTCAGCTCATTTATTTTAGGCAGCTTGTTTAGTATATTCTTTATTTTATTACTATTATTTATACCATGCATGTATTTGGCCTTTTTCATTTTTACTCCCATTAATCTAATTAGATTGTATCGAGGTGTAAGGTACATATGTTCTCTTATCTAAGCGTAATTTAATTTTTTAATCAATAAAATTGTATCGCACTGTCGATATTCCAACAAAAAAAAAAAACAATTAATATACAGTTCACATAGGATTCCAAGCTTTTAAGCTAATACCTTTTATGGGTTCCCTTCATTGACCTCATGGGCATGCTTACCTAAAGATTATTGGTCAAAAAGTTACCACACTCTCATTAGTGTCTCCAACTACATTCCATTACATAGCTTTTAGCAAGATTCTTGTCTCCCTTTAAGCTTGCTCTATGTTACTTTATGTGGTTTGTTGATAGGTTCGGTTAGGAACTAAATTCCATTTTTATTTTATTTTATTATTTTTTCAATCAATGGTTACAAATCATCTAAATTAAAAATAAAGATTCAGATTAAATTTCGGGACGATATTTTTGTGATACCTTAGCTTTATCCTTGTTTGTTAAAATAAGGGGCTCATATTCAATATAAAGAGAGACTCACCAAGTTCAAGGACAATAGACCAGTTGTCAGAGTTAAGAGAGCCACACGTGCCTTCGAAATTTGCCCTAATTAGGGTTGTAACTGATGTAAACTAAGTTATAACCCTATTTTGGGTGTGGAATAAAAACAAGATAGCCATTCTTTCGTGGACGTAAGCAAATTGCCGAAACATGTAAAATTCTTATGTTATTGCTTGTAATTAATTATGTTTTTTTGATTGTTCATCATACGCACCAATCACAACATTGTTGATATTAGTCAAGTATCTCCCATGCTACTATGCCACTTGGGGTCCAAGTGCTGGAACAATTACCTAAAGTGATTTTTTTCGTACCATTTTGAGTACTAGATCATAGTAGAAAACAATTAAGTACCACCGTTTGCATGAGCACCACAGTTTGAAACTACCTTTACAATAATTGGGACCCTTTTTGGTTAGATTGTTGAGAAATTATTTTTCTAACTCCGTTGGTGCCTTTGATTGTTTGAGAACAACCTTTGTAAAATTCACCCTAGGGCTGTAAACTATTCGATATCAGTGCGTAATTAGTTAGATTTGGAACTACAATTCTTAATGCAACCCATCAATCTAACACAAAGTTATCAGGTTTGGGTTGTAATCATGCTAAATCACTGCACATTGCTTGATAAGTGGGTTGAAACTAACATGAAGATACACGATAAGAGCTCGGCTATGTACAATTATAAATTGAACTAATTTTGATATGATAAAAACTAGACACTATATAAATTTAACATGACAAAACCCAATTCTCAAGTTCTAGTTAGATCCTAGTTTTAGTTCAACGACATGTTTAGGTTAGATGCATCATTGCTTCACCGAAGTTTCGGGATGTTATATATCACTTTGGTCCATATGCTTTGTTTTTTTTTTTTTTGGGGTGAATTACACCCAAATTTTTTGAAATTTGTCACTTAATCACTCAAATCTTCTGACATTTGAAATATTATACACAAACCTCTTGAGGTTTGTACACGCGTAACACTTAAATTCCTGTTGTAAATATATCCGTTATATACTTAGACTTCCTTAAAGTTTGTGGGTATATAATATTACACCTTTTAAGTTTAAAATATTATACTTAAACCAAAAGTACTCCAATCAAATATAAAATATTTTAAATTTTACAACCAAAATTCATGTTCTATTGTATCATTTATTGAAATAAAATTAAAATTAAAAATATAATTTTTTCTTAAAAAAATCGTAATTAATATACAATTATACTATCTATTGGAACAAAACTAAAAAATCAAACAATGAGTCTAAGTTATTCATAATAGAACATGAATTTTACATTCAAATTTATGTTCTATTATGTTATTTATTGAAATAAAATCAAAAAATAAAAATTTATTTAAAAAAAAAAACATAGTTAGTATATATTTATAATGTCTATTAGAACAAAACTAAAAAATTAAATAAGGAATCAAACTGTAATGGACACAATATCTTTTAAATTTAATTGAGATAGTTTAGTATTCTAATTTGGTTGTTTAAACGATTAAATTAAATTATAATAGACAATATAATTGTATACTAATTACAAATTGAATTTTTATTTTTAATTTTATTTTAATAAATGATGAAATAGAATATGAATTTTAATTGTAAAATTTAAAATACTTGATATTTTATATTTGATTAGAGTATTTTTGGCCCAAGTACAATATTTTAAATTTAAAAGATCTAAGTATTATATACCCACAAACTTTAAAAGGTCTAAGTGTAATTTATTAATGGATATATTTACAACAAAGGTCTAAGTGTCATGTGCGTACAAATCTCAGGGGGTCTGTGTGTAATATTTTAAATGTTAGGGGGTCTGAGTGATTAAGTGACAAATATTAAAGAGTCTGGGTGTAATTCTTCCTTTTTTTTTTCAATTGAGTCCAAAATTTTACCCGTTATTTTAATTGCATCAAATTGAAATGCTGATAATTAACCTAGACGAAAAGAATCATGTGACTAACATGTGATCTACACGACGGTGTATAAACTTTATTTTACATATATAAACTACAAAGTTGGTATTATAAACTACAAAGTTGGTATTTGAAGTTAAATGTTATTGCCAATTTCGTTTTTAGTTCTTGTCGAATTATTAAATGCATACACATATGTGCACTTACTTGAAATCAAATGCATATTTCCGATAAAAAAAGAAGAGAGAAAATCATCACTAGTACGAAATATACAAATAATTTATCCAAGATCTAGGGTACTATCACAATTTGGGTGAGAACAAAAGCTTCAAAACCATAGCATCACTAGAGTTTATTACTAATCCTCTCATCATTTGTGCACAAACTCTACTTTTTTTTACTTCAATGCTGTCAATTTCATGAAGGGCAGACATGATAGCCTCCTGATTCCCTTGAAAGAATAATTTTGAACAAACTTTAATCATGATCTTAATTAGAATCAGATGGCCCCCAAGCCTTCAATGTTGTCAATCCATAGAATTAAGTAGAACCGTTGGAAGTTTAATAAACACTGTGATAGTCAATGACAGCAAAGAGAGATCACTTCTACCAAATGTTCAATGTTAGAAAGATAAAATACCTTAAAATTTTGAGCAAGACTTTGTTACAGAAACAGGTATCACACAAAAGCTTGCCACATTTCTACGTCTAATTACAACGTTGTTGAGTTACAAATAAATGGGGCAAGTTACGACTTACAAAAAAAAAGAAAAAAGTATATATATATATATATATATATATATAAATTGTATGATCTATTTA